CCTCCCCTCCCCAGCAGAGCCAAGGATCCATCTAAAGGCTTGAATGCCTGCCATGAACATAAGACTATCTCTAAGGAAAAGGACAGAGCAATAGCCAAGATCATTGTCCTGCTTGGTTTATGTCAGCTCTAGTTTCAAACCAGCACCTGCTTATAGGTCTACATTACAGACATCTGGAGAGGGCTCCAGCCATCCATGAGAAGGGGACCGGGGGCTTTCCTTTCTAAGGAATGAAAAATAAATCTGTGTATTTATGAAAGGGACTCTGGGGCCACCTTTGGATTAAAAGCTAGGAACTTTGGCTTTGTGTTTCTATTAAAAGCCTTCTGAAGAAACGAACGAACAAAAATAATAACATCAGGAGGTCATTTCCATGTTGAAAACTCTTTATCAGGGCTCTGACAGAGCAGATGACTGGGTAGGGGGGAGCATGTAACGTGGTCTGAAGTATATCACTTGGCCTCTCAGCACCCCACTTCCATGTGAGGGTGACGGTGTCAAGCACTTGGTAAGGTGAAAATCCCTACACACGCGTTGTCTTTTGGGAGCCAGGCCAGGCTGGTTTCATCACATCTGTCTCCTTGAGCAACCACTCAAAGGCTGCAAAGAGGAGTGAGATTTCAAAAACACACCTGCCAAAAGGCTAAAGGATTTGATGGATTCTGCCCCAAAGAAGAGAGATTTAACAACTGTCTTCAAACAGATGAAGGGCTTTCCCCAGGGCCAGCAAGAGCCTAGAGGCCATGTGTTCCCAGTCTGCCCTGAAAGGTGACGGGAGGAACCAGGCTCCAATAAGAGAAGCTGTTAGCCTTAACGCACTCAGGACACAAACCAGTGGCTCTGGGATGCTGCGGAGTGTCTAGTTGGGAGCTGCTTCATTTGGGGGAGGGTAAGGAAGAAAGATGGGGTAAAACTACATCTGGGTCTCAGCCCTACAGGAAGTAATCTCTTAGACCCGGCATACATCCACATGTCCTGCTAGTCACCTCCTTCACAGGCTCTGCTCTTGGCCCGGGCCAGCACTCCACACCAGAGTCAGAAACCTGTCCTCCGTTGTTTCTCTGAAGACCCTGCCTGCTGCTCTCAAGGCAAGTCTGATGAACGATACCCACCTCCCTGCTCTTGGATCTCCAGACTCTGAATATGATTTGTATGCATAAACACGGTCCCAAGACCTTGTTCTCATAGCGATCCTTCCATAGCACCTTTCCCGGGTTTACTTCAGTCTGAATTAGGCTGACACTGGGGGGAAAGGATAGAATCTCCAAAACAATGTCCATATGAAATTTCACAGTGTGTGGCCCCCACCCCCATCTTCCGTGTAAGGAATCCAAAACTAAGCTATTGAACACAACAGCCAGGATTTCAGCCCAGGTCTGGTGGACTCCTAGGGCCATGCTCTTTCCTAGGGAAGACACCAGGCACGTCCGCATCATGTGACTGCAGAAAAGAGGCGTGGCTGGGCCTTGCTTCTTAACTCCCACTTCCAGTATCCCACCAGGATGGGATTCAAGTGTATATTATGTGTGGTGTTTGTAGGGCAAAAGTCATTCAGCTTTTGCAGACATGGACTTGACATCCGATGGGGCCTACTTCTTACAATTTCTATTGCGGCTTAGACTCAGAAGGCTCTGAGATGAGCACTGCCCCTGGATGCAGAGCAGCAGAAGCAGACCCTAACCATCTCCCGCCAATAATGAAGCATTGCCATGTTAATATAGCGAATAAAAAAATCACACACAAATGACAGCAAAGGCGGAAATCATAACTTACAGACGCACCAAGAAACTATTGTCTACACATTTGAGAATGAAGTTGCTGTTTAGATGTTTGTTACCTGAGCTTAGTTACACTTTGACCTAATTATCTGGTGAGCCAAACAGTGCCAGGTTTACCAGGGAGCCAAATTGTTGCTATTCATGATGAATGCCAAAGTAAGGAATGCCTCAGACTGTGACTCACACAAAAATTCTGTGTGGTATCAGTGAAACATCTATGACAACACATGGTCCAAAAAGACCACTTCCTTCAGCTCCTTCTACCAGTGGCAGATAGTACCCATTCCTTGGTCACGAGCACTGACAGATGTCTACTCAAATTGCACTGAAGAATAACATCACATAACCAGAAACGACCTTCAGTGTCATCTGGCCTGACCTCCCTTACATCTGGGGTCAGGTTCCGTGGTTTAGCCAAAGCACACGCTAGTCAAATCCTATTATGGTGACCAGCACAGGATGCGCTAGTGCTGGATTTTATTAGACGGTCAGAAATCACATTATATCCTGCTCCAGCGGATGTAAACACCCAAGCTTCCTGACCGCATGCTAGGAAGGAAAGGAGCCTGACACCCCACCTCTTCTGTGGACTATCTGGAAACTGCAATGGTTGTAAAATGCGTGCCACGTCTATGGCTCTGTTCCTCCCATTGACGGTGCTGGAGCATGGAGAAGGGGCTGCTGAAGCAAGGTCGGTGGCCGAGGGATAGAGCGAGCGGTGAACCTCAGTTAGGCCTTCTTACTCTCCCCTCAGCTTTCCTCAGAGCACAATTAGCATTTGCACCCAAGAAAGGGAGTGACAAGAAGAGCAGAATCCAGTCTGCAGTCAATAGGGTAGTCTGACAATTGATCCTCTGGTATTTCTCTCATGTGGTCTGGCTGTGGTTTATCCCTCTCTGGGTCTCTCTTTCACCCTCACAACCCTTCCACAACCAAAACTGCCACCAGACAGAGAGCCCTCTCAGCGCAGGGCACAGACGAATATAGCCCAAATGGAGCATAGCACGGGACTGCGGAGTGTCCTCCCACCACACAGAAGGGAATCCCAAGCCCAGACCAGCACAGGGAAAACAGAGTCCTCTTGGCTTCAGAGAAACACATGCTAGTACTTTACAGATGCTGGCATGTGTCAGCGTTTCTAAAGTAAACTCTGTTTTCTTTAGATGAAAGAGATTAAAAAAATAGACTCAGAATTTAACCCAGTGAAAATTGCTTCGGTTATTCACATGCAATAAAGCGTAGAAACAAGAAAGAAAAAAAATCAATTGCTTCTGATTTATTTATTCATTCATTGTCCATCTCCTTTCTCCCTAATGTAAAAAAAAATGCTGTTTATAATTTTGCAAGCCGTTAATCTTTTCAAGGAGAAAGAAAATAATTCAAGCCTGCCATTGGTTGCCCAGCATTTTGGCACAGGAAATGCATGTTCAATTAAGGTTAGGGAAAGAACAGGAAAGAGGGAATTGATTTTTGTTTATCAAACTTTTTTTCCAACATCTACAATCAGGATGCTATTGTAAACTCTCAAGTCTGATAAGCCAGTCTCACATACTCTGCTAACAATATTTAAGGCAACTACAAGCCTTCACTCTTTTGTTTGTGTTATTATTTTATCTTCTTATTTCTCAGGCTGGCCTCAATCTCTTGGGCTCAAGACATCTTCCTGCCTCAGCCTCCAGAGTAGGTGAGACCTTGGGCATTCACCGCCTGTGCTGGTATCGATAGGTTGCTTTTTCCTAACTGGCTGGCTTATTTTCCCTTCATTTTTGTAGGTCTTAAATATTTCATACTACATATTGTTAACCCCTCAATTCTTCAACAGTGTATTCTATTCTTGGCTGACAACAGAGATGGGAAGTTGGGCATGCCAAACAGATTGCAATAAAGAGCAGAATATGTAAGAAACCAATTTTGGAAGGATGCTTGAAGCTTTTAACCTATGCCAAATCATCAAAATCTATTAAAAGAGGCCCCAGCTCTCGTGTGGTCCCCATATGCACATAATTATGGAAATACTCTGGACACCTGCCGAAACTGACAATGAATAAAGCCAGATGAAAGCTATCAGGTGCCACTTTCAAATGCATCATTCACCTAGAGTGGCGCTTCTCAACCTTCCTGACACTGTGACCCTTTAATACAGTTCCTTATGTTATGGTGACCATAACCATAAAATCATCTCATTGCTACTTCATGACTGTAATTTTGCTATGAATTGCAATGTGAATATCGGATATGTGACCACCTCAAAGGGGTTGCAACCCACAGGCTGAGAACCACTGGCCTGTTGCCTTTGACCTTACTTACATAAGTTTCCTCCCTTTACAACCTTTACCTAGAGACTGTATGCGTGTGCGTGCTTATGATCTAGTGTGAGTCTGTAAAAACAGCCAAGTTTACCATCTGGGAGAGCTGAAGGACAGGAATGTCCCACCTTTCACTTAAAGACACAGACCCCAAACACCATTTCAGTTACTGTCTCCCAGTCTCTCTGCCGCGTCACCAACTGTTCTGACTCCCTGCCCACAGAGAGGAGAAAAGGAAAGTCAGCGCCAGCCAATACATTTCAGTCCTATCTAGTCTGGTGCTTAAGTCGACCATAACTGCCTTGCACCTGTCTGGACAAGGTTGCATTTTCTAGCCTTCCCTTCGACCTCGCTTGTCCGGTCTTCACCACACTTGACAATTCTGCCCTTAAGAGATATTAAGGGGGAAAAATCCATAAGAAGAGGGTACAAAAAGAAGAAAAACATAAATATCAGAGAAAACCTATACGTTGTCTCGTCTCATTGGCTTCACTTGCCTTTTAGGTGACTAGTAAAATGAGTCTGTAAATGATTCAAAGTGTAAGATTCTAAAGTCTGCCACGCTCTTTGTTTCGTTTCTGAATACCGTTAGACCAACTGGTTTTACTTCCTTCTCACCAGGCACAACACAAACTCCCAGAAGCCTCCTGGGCGTGAGTGCCGCTCCGCTGGCACCTGCCCTGCACACAGCATTTGGAAATGCCTGTGTTACTGGCCTCTCGGCAAGTCCAAATCTCCTTCTGCTCCACCAGTGACAGATGGCTGGCTCCTTTCGGTACACGGGCACAGCATCTTCAAAACAACCTTCTCCTGCTAAAGCATGCCAACTAATTAAATGTCACTGTGCTAATGTCCTGGCCACAGAAGACCAAGCCTCAACACAACAGGTCAAGGGTGAGAGGTCATGCTCCCCTACCTTCGCCCGATGACCCCGAGAGATCGATGATCACGTACACTTTTCCTTCTGGCTCCAGGTCAATCTGCAAGTAAGAAAATGACAGTGGGTGTGTTAGTGCAGCTTGCAGGTCCCACATTTCCACCCTGAACCACAGCTCCATGCACTCATCAGCCCGCAGTGCGCCAAGAGCTAGGTGAGTTAGGAGTGAAGGAGCATCAGTGTTGGCCAAACATCTACCAAACACCCAAAAGGAGCCCCAGTCAGTGGCTTTAAACTGGGAGGGATTTGCTTCACAATGGATACTTGTCCCTTCCTGTGACTTTCCAACTGTCCCCAGCAAGGAGCAAGTGCATGCTTAGCGAGTAGTTCTCAGGAAAAGGCAGTGTGGCAGACGTCTCTTGCTCCGTCAAGGTCAAGGACAACGAATGTCTCCTGTCTGAAGCTTTTCCAGGTACTCCCATCAGGCTGCGTTCCTCCCTCCTCTGGGTTCCCACAGCACACCAGACACATCCTAATCACAGTTTTTATTAAACTGTAGCACAGAGCCTGTGTAGTTATCTTCTGAGCCGCATTCCCAACCTCAGCTCACTTCTCTTGGCCAGAAAACCCCCAATACCCATTTGTAGAGGTGAGGAAAGGCTCTAGATTCTAGCATAGTCTGTGTCCTTCACCCCTTCAAGCCTTCATGCCCAGAGAGGAAAACAGACTTGTGACTTGGACTGAAGTAAGTAGCATTGCACGAGACCTGGAGAGGGAGGCTAAGGAGCCCATACAATGAATATCTAATATGAGCACCTGTGCGAGGCAAAGAAACTCAAGTTGGAGAGATGTTCTCTCCAGGTCACCCATACCCTCTGCAGAGTTAAGGTTTCTAGAGCCACACAGGAGCCCTGTTGCACAGTCAGACATAAACCCCTCATGGCTGAGGTCATTCACTATCTATCCGCTTCACGTGTTCATTTGTATCAAGCGATCTCCCGTGGGTGAGGTGACTGGAGGAAGCTCACACACTCTTGTCAGAGAGTGAAGGAGGACAGGGAGCAGACTTGGGCCACGCTCAGGGACACCACACAATCCACTTGGCTGAGCCTGGACTCCAGATTCGACCCAAATACCCAACTGGGGATCCCATGTGAGGCTTTTCCATGTCACTCCATCTCAAGAGTTCACGATTTGAAATGCACAAAGTTCCCCCAGGGCTCTCTGATGCTAGTGCGACCCCCACCATAAACAAACCCCTGCTCTGGCATGGAATTACAAACAGGAAAGCCAGCTGTTGGCCCTGCTAAACAGCACTAAACCAGAATTCCGTCCCTGCCAAAGTTCAAAATGATCAGGGGCCCCTTTGCCCCTCGAGCATGGAATTCAAATAATGTATGCCTTTTGGAGATGAGATCATCTCTGCTAGCCCCCAAACAAAATGAAACACTTTCTCATATCCTCCAAGTCAAAGATTTCCCACGACTGCAGACCGTATTGGTGAAGTACAATGTTATCTGTGCAAGGCAGGAGGAGGACAGAGAAGGAATGAGATGGGCAGCGAGGCCTATCCAAAGGCGGGCGCAGAGCCTATCTCTGCAAAAGGGGAGTGAGGACTCAAAGCAGGGAGGACAGGTCATGGACAGTAAAATGCATTAGGATATGAACATTCGAGATAGCGATCAGAAACCGTTTTAGCACCCACTGCTCCCTCGATGCTAGTGAGCCGCATTTCCCAACCGAAAAATAGAAATTAAGCCATTAAGTGTGCCAAGAGGAACAAAGGGCTTTGCAGTGTGAGCAGATGGTTGCAGAGCTCCGGCCAAGGCCCAGTCAGCCAGACGAGGAGGCTTTGAGATTCCAGTCAGGGTGGCAGGGCTTCAGTGTGGGCGACTAGAGGGGTAGCCGAGTACAAAGGGTGGTAGAGAGGGGTCCAGCTTCACAGCCAAATTCATCTCATCACAGACTCTGCCCGTGGTTCACGGCCCAGATAAGGAAGCAATGTGAGCTCCCAGGCCTGTCCCCATCCAGCCGTTGCCAGGTCATCTCAGATCGCCTCTGCAATGCAGGCTCATTCCACGTGCTCCAGATGTAGCCCTAGCCATAAAATCTTTTTAGACATCTTACCTCTCCTTGATAGACTTCTCAGCTACGTTCCTGTTCTCCTGGACTGCTATCTTCCTTCAAGCTAAATCACCATTGGCTTCCCCTCTAGCCAGGGCCAGAAGCCAAGGAAACAGTGGGGGAGATGACCACAGCCCCTGGCTTCATACCAGGCCCGCATCCCTGTTTTGTCTCTTCCCCGCTGAGTGACCTCAGACAATTATTTCCTCTCCGTGAGCCTTGGCTTCATCTGTGAAATGGGTTGTCATGGAAATTCCATGAGACAGGAATGCAAAGCACTTGGTGTTCAGAAAATCCTCCGTGTGTGGAAAAGAGAACTGCCTGGCTAGATGGCCCAAAGCAAGTGGGGTCTACAAGGCGGCTCATCAGGTAGGGGTCCTTGCCACTAAGTCTGGAGACCTAAGTTCCATTCCCAGATGGTGGGAGGAAAGAACTAACTCCCACAAGTTTTCCTCTGACCTCTCTCTACATTAGTGTCATCTCACACATAAGTACAACACACACACACACACACACAGAGTCTTCAAGTCTTTATAGTTCAAAACTCTTTCTACTCTACCAATATTCCCACCCCAAGCCCACAAAATAAATACAAGACTCTTTGTGTTCCCTGACGTGACTATATATTATTACAGGATATCAGATGACTTTTTAGTGGTACCGTGACTATCAAAAAGGCCTTGGCCCCACCCTGGGGGCAATCCAAGGGCAGGCAAGACCAACCGCTGGGCACCAGAAGACCCATGGTACCATGACAGATAGGGAGAAGAGATGATCACAGGTTTCCTGAGCATCTACTTTGCTTCAGACACCTTCACGTGTCTCGGCTTCCTGGGGCTCTTGCAAAGTCAATGACAGTCTCAGTTTCAGATAGGAAAGAGGTACATTGAACTTCCTGCAGCGATGCCCAACATCACGAAAGGCATTGACTCTGCCTCCACTCCGAGGTCAGGCTCCTGGGCCCTGCTACCCCTAGCCCACAGAGGCTTCTCTGATTTCTACCCAGGGTATTCTCTTCCCAACCCCATTTCCAATGTCTTCGTTATCCTTTGCATTGACCATTGGCTTCCCAGGCCCAACCTTCCTAAGGCAGAGGGATGCCTTGAACACCCTCAGCACTGCACTGAGCCCAGAGGAAAGTCTGTGTGAATATTCCATTCATTCCATTGAAGGGAAATTCCACAGAGACAGAAGCAACTACCCAGAAACCCTTGCAGCAGCAGGGCTTCGAAAGCAATGACTTACATGAACTACTGGGTGGTGCCTGACCATTTCTAATGCCCTTTGTGGGCCAATTTTTTTATTCCTCATAATCTACCTGTAAGGTAACAGATTCTGCATTGCTCTATGAGTAAGAACCAGATGTGGTAGCACACACCTGTAAGCTCAATTCTCCCAAAGTGGAGACAGGAAGGTTGAGAGTTCAAGGAAACCCTGGGAAAGATAACACGACTCTTGTCTCAGTAAAGCTCAGCAGTAGAGTATTTGCTTAGATGCACAAGGTCATGGGTTCAACCTCTAGCACTGCAAGTAAACAAACAATTTAAAAGCTGAGGTTATAAAGAGAAGAAGTAGTCAGTGTACCTACAGTATGCCAATGAGGGCACACCTGTTCATGACATCAGAGTCAGCAAGTATCCCTGAGTATTACACATAACTCAAAAAGAGTCTGCCCCCCTCCCCAGCTCCTAACTCTTAGGCCAATGATCTTTCCAGAACCCCACATCCATCTATCAGGAACTCTGGGCCAAGTAGTTTTGAATATCAGAACTCCACTGGTGAGTAGATGGCCAACAACCTGCAAAATATTTGTCAGGTCTCTGTGACCCACAGGTTTCTATGCCTGTGTCTAGGTGGCCAAAGGCCTCTGTGACCCACAGGTTTCTATGCCTGTGTCTAGGGGGTCAAAGGCCTCTGTGACCCACAGGTTTCTATGCCTGTGTCTAGGGAGTCAAAGACCTCTGTGACCCACAGGTTTCTATGCCTGTGTCTAGGGAATCAAAGGCCTCTGTGACCCACAGGTTTCTATGCCTGAGTCTAGGTGGCCAAAGGCCTCTGTGACCCACAGGTATCTATGCTTGTGTCTAGTGGGCCAAGGGTTTCAAGAGCCACGCAGCCTGACATTCAGTCAGACTTCCTCCTAACCACAGGCCTACTTTCACCTGAGGTCTCTAGACAAACTTCCCCCAGGCCTAGCCCAGGCCATCTGAGTTTCACTTCCTCTTTTTTAACCATCCCCAGGCACCAAGCTTGGAGGGAAGGAGAGATGGGGAGAGAGCCTGGTTCCACCAATGGGACTCTCGTAATTAAATGTTTATTTCTTTTTCTTCCTTCCTTGGTGTAGGAGGTAGAAGAACCATCCGGAAAGGAAACTGAGCCTAGTGGTTCTGGTCTGTAATCTCAGATACTTAGGAGACTGAGGCAGGAGGCCCATGAAGTCAGTGCCTTCCTAGGCCATGACTGGCTTGTGGTCCACCCTGGCAACTTTGTAAGGCCCTGACTCCAAATCAAAAGGAAAAAGATGGGGAGATGGCTCTGTCACTAAGATACCTGCTGTATAAGCATGAGGACCTGAGTTCATATCCCCAGCACCCATCTAAGAGCCAGGTGTGGGGGCAAACATCTGTAAGCCAAGTGCTAGGGACTACAGAGACAGGAGGATATCTGGAGCTCATTGACTAGCCAGCCAATAGGGGGTCCCTCCAGGTTGAGGGAGGTGCCAATCTCAAAAAGTTAAGGTGAAAAATGATGGAGGAAGGGGGACACATGACATCAAACTCCTATCCCTCTATGTGTCTGTATGTGTGTGTGTGCATGCACATGAGTGTGTATTGCGCACACATGTGTGCTGGTGCATGTGTGTGCGTGTGCATGTGCATGTGTGCTCACATACATGAATACAACACATTCACACCAAAGTAAAAAAGAAGCTATAATTCAGTGGTAAAATGCTTGCTTAACACTCATGAGGGCCTAGGT